AAATGAAACGGAGTACTCATCAAAACATTCAGAGAATACGGGCGAAATTTTGCGGAAGTGAAATTGTCATAGGAGCGAATATTTACTGATAAGTAGAAAGCCGGACTTTGATTTTCGTAGGTTAAAGAACAGGCTTGCTCTTTTACCCACAAATCTATGCTGGCATGATCTTATTAATAGCTATGTTTCAGAGCGCATTTGTTGAAATAATATAACAGTAGATTATCTACGATGATAAACGAATCACAACAAGATTATGTATACGATTTGAACTTTTTAACAATTCCATATTCAAACGTTCTACTGGCTAATGAGAAGAAATTCTTCTGTATTTCAGTTATTATCCAATAATAAACACTTTCCACGAATCACAACAAGATGACGAATATGATTTGAGCACTTTAACAGTTTCATATTCCAACACTCCAACAATCCAACAATTGTTCAGAAATGAAAACTAAAAATCCTCTCTCCCACGACTTAATTTAAAAGTCGAGATCCTCTTGCAAATACTGGCTGTGGTCAACTGTTTCGGCGTGTTATATCCACCAGAAACTGAACTGCATTAGAAATGCAATAAGACGAAATGTAAAGCGTTCGCACTATTGCGAGAAATATGAATGAGAGTGAATCAGTGATACGTCCGGAGAGAATGAGAAAAGTGTCGCGATATAATGAAACTATAGTGCATTTTGGAAAATGAGAACTAAGAGTGATGAAACATAATGAGAATCAGATGTGGATGCTGAACGTGGAATGCGTAGCTTGAATAGAGTGCAGAAGAATGGCTTGTGTGGAAGGTATGTATTCACATGAAGTGTTCGTTGCACATATTCACTTAAAGAGCTGTTCACCAATGGTGTACTGTTGATTTTCACGTCGAATTGACGTGCACTCTCATCACTCTCATTCCTCTCCTCGACAACCATGTTTCAATAGCACCATATCAAAACAATTTCTTATTCACTGCAGTCACATCATCAATTCACTCGCATTCATAATTCTCCAATGATTATGCACTCTGCTTATTTCTTCTATTTGCATTTTCAGTGCAAGTGCATTTAAAGCATGAATGATACGGAAAAGATGTAAAAAGTGTGCAAAAGAACTTGGCAAAATGCGAGTTATTCTCTTCTAATTTTGAAAATATGCGCTACAAATTCTTGTCGGTGTCGTGGATAGAAGGAATCTGTTAATGGATTATTAAATAATTTATCGCTTTCCCCTGGAATTTGTGCATTTATGGGTTCTCGCTCTGCTATTATCTCGTGCTATTTTTTGTCATATGGAATAGTTTACCACTACGTGAGAATGTCATAATGCTTTATTTGCCGATAAACATTTTGGTCAATGTCATAATATTTGAATGTCTTACAATTAGTATTGTGATTGGCCACTTGTGATGAAAATTCATTGCTCTCAAGTTGGTCAATAGGATATAACAGCAGAAAAGTAATATAGCAGAACATCATTATCTCGAGTTTCTCATGATAGAAACTCAAATAGGGAGTACCAATTCTTCAGCACTCCGCACGTGAACATCTTTTTTCCAAGATTAACGCCGTTCTTATTGTAACATTTTTAAGAAAACGAACCAATCGGTCATTCGAAATGCATTCATTCATTTCATCCGTTGAAGTCAATTGAAGTGATTGGATTGATGACAGCAATATGAATTGTATAAGAGGAAATAACACAAATGTATGAGAGATAATGGGATGAGCAAATTGAATATCTCTTCGGAGGATTTTCCTTGTTGAAAATAAGTGTTTTATGCAATGAACGTTCTCTGATTACATTTATGAAAGCTGAGTTTCATGCTCACATCATGCAAGATCGTATACAGTTCAGTGATCAATTTCTTTTTTTCAGTCGCTTCCATCCCATTCACAACGTGCACTCCATTCAGGATCGTACCTTGGAATTGCACTCAGATTGTCGACCTCAAATTCCAGTTATGCAACCTGTTTCTTATGAATAATAGATCCAAATACTATTCCCCTATCAAATGGATGAATCGATCAAATATCCTTGCTGTGCGAGAATATACCATGCTATTTAAGAAGTACCGTTAAAAATGTGGGCAAAGAACAATGAAATTTAGAGCAATTAATTTATTGATATCCTATGAGAGAGCCTGAGAAGTGATAAGTTGCTTAGCTGATATTAAACCTGATAATGTCATTGCATCCACTGAATAGTAAGGAAGGACGATAAAGTGAGATAACAGAATTTTGAAAGAACCTTACATGACATTGAATAATTGTTTGGATATCGTTCAAACACGGTTGATATGAGAATATACTTTGAAGGTCACAAGTGGGTACATCACCCTTGCAAAAACTCAGACAATCTGCGGAAACTCCTTAAAATAACATCAATTTTTCTTCATTTGTTACTTCCTCGATTAGTTTTTGTCCTTTTTCTTTGTTTCGGGTACGATAATTTTCTTACTCAAAAACATCGTTTATTTATTATGGCTTCCTCAATTAAGCTGAGCAATGACAGGGCTTCTTAGGTTATATTTAAGTATCACTTGGAAGTGAGCATCCTATTATGCTTCAAGATGTCTGAATCACTCGAAACTATGAGCAGCCTCAATACATGTTCAAGATTTCAAAGTCATTTTGCAAAATTCCTGAATTCGCAATGGATACAGTTCAGTTAGCCTTGATCATTCCAATGGATACAGCTGAAATCACTCATTTCCATAAAGCGAATTCTCACCTTTCTTTTGACAGCATTTGATATTGTCGTTCGCATCTGCTGCACAGTAGGCCCAAGTGGTCAGTTGAGAAACGCATTTGACACCCGTACTGCTATTCAACT